TTGGTTGCGGCAAAAATAATAATTAAAAAAAGTTTTAAAACTTTGAAATGTTTGGTATATCTCAGGTGTAGATATATAGGTGATCTTATCTCATCTGCACTGAAATTGATATATGCTCTATCACTAGCGTAGCTGCTCTTAGCACTGTGATGTGTTGTAAAGCTCGCAGCACTTAGAAAGTCTAGGAAATCCTTAAAAACACCAACTGTTCATTCATAACTCCGAGTGAAAGAACAGAACAGAATCACAAGTTCCAGTGAGAGAAATATGAGCTGGCCTCAGAGCTGTTGTGTGAATGTCTGTCGCGTGTGTGTGTGTGTGTGTGTGTGGATGGATTTGTCTGCCTTCAGGCTGTAGACAGCTCCAAACTGTGTTTAATGATTCCCCTCCGGTGTCTCTCCGTCACATCAGAGATGGATGCAGTGAGATCGGAGGCCGGATCTTTGCAGACGTGCACACAGCATATGGATGGATCACACACGACATTATTTGCTGGAGCTGCACGCTTGCACAAACACACACTCTCTCACACACTTGTGTTGGTTTTCTATGTGGGCTGCAGGCAGATACACTGGCATCTTCACTCCTCCAGTGTGTGTGTGTGTGTGTGTGTGTGTGTCTGTGGTGTGCTGGGATTTTCATGTATTCCTTCTCAAAATACCAGCAGGCTGTCAGAGCAGCTGTTTGATGTTCTGTCGCTCAGCTTCACAACTCAGAGCCACAGATTCTGTGTGATTCAATGAATGAATGAATGCACTAGAGGAACATGGGTACAAAACTAGCCAACACAAGAGTGTCTTGCGTGTTGCTATGTGCTTGCAAAGGTGATCTGAAAGATTTTTTGCACAATGCTGAAATCTAATAATTAGTGCCACAGGTTTGAACAACTGCCAACTTAAGTTTAGTAGTACTAGTGCTAGTTTAAGTAAATTAAGCAGTGTTAGAGTTTTTGTGTGTGTGTGTGCATATGAATTAATGCATGTGTGTATTGGTAGAGTTTGTCAGTGTGTTTATGATGGTCTTATCAATGCAGACGGAGTATTAGTGTTTGTCTAGTCTGAATGTATGTTTGCGTATGTGAACTGTACGAGTTTCTCTCTGACAGGCTCAGTAAAGTGTTTACACACAGTGGCTCCGTCTGCCAACAGCACATTGTTCTGTCCTTATTTGCCCAGCTTGAGTCCTGATGCAGTCGCACATCTTCACTGAAGGAGAACCGTGTGAGTGTCGTGTATTCAGGCCTGTTGCGTCAGTGCTCTGGGATTTTGTGTGCCGTTAAAAGCGCTATGTGTGTGTGCCTGTGAATCGGGTCGTAGGCTCGGGCTAATTTACAGACCTGTCAGCAGACCTCTCTCACACACACACACACACACACACACACACACACACACACACACACACACCACTCTAGTGCTTCTAGACCACAACAAGTCCTACATCAGCCAGGACACATAAATAGCCCAGGAGAGCATTAGGATGTCAGAGACGCTCTGGGCTCTCATACATTCAGCTGTTAGAGAGAGTGCAGTCTGTACGGTGAATTATAAAGCTCTTCCACAAACTTCAGGAACATCTTTGAACTTCTGCAGGCTCGATAGCGTGAGATTAAAGACAAGAGAGAAATAACAATCTTCTTGGTGTTTGTGTTTGTGTGTAAGGATTCTCAGTGGTGTTTAAGATCTGTTTATTTGTGCTTCATCTTTTGATGAATTTTCAAAGCAATTAATGGCACAAAGTGTTTTATTTTTCCTTTTATATGAAATATTAAATATTTAGTGCACTCTTGTGCTAAATGAGTATTTGTTGATTAAATCTTTCTCTTCTTTCTCTTCTACATACATTACTTACCTTTGTCATATTCACAACAAAGGAGGAAAAGAACAAAAAAAAATTTTTTTTTACTTTTATTATTATTATTTTAGTTGTGTGTATTCTGCATTTTTTTATAATTTAGAATTTTTTTAAATATGTAAGTTAGGGATGCTCCGATCAGGATTTTTGCAGCCGATACTGAGTACCGATTTCTTGTCATGGTGATCGGCCGATACCGATGCCGATTCTGATGCTTCAAGCTTTATATAGACTGTTTCATCGGGCGCACGCACCTGGCCCGAAGTTAACTTCCGGTCTCTGTTTGTTTATCAGTCTGGCTATGGCGCCGGGTACAAACGCAGTTAAAGTTAAGGTGATGAGTAGACTGAAGTTGGGCTCAAATGCAGATTATTTGCGGGTGGATAAAATAAATCATAAATGATACAAATATTAACTAAATTTTTTTTAAATACATTTTTTCCTTGAGGCAGACGATTTTGTGTGTGTGTGTGTTCGTTCTCCTGATCGGGAAGTTGCAGTGACAGAAACGGTGACATTCCAGATAAAGTTTGAAAGGAGTAAAGCCTGTGTTAATGCTATTGAGTAGGCTAATATGGCCAAAGAAGTTATTTTGTTTTATAAATAAATATTCATTTAAAAGCAGCCCACGATCAGCGTATTATGTTACCGTTACCCCTTACGGTTCTGACGAGGTTTTGTTCCGTCCTCCACACTGATAACTCACAAAATACTATTTTTAGCCAAGCAGCGTGGAGAGCCGCTTCAGAAACGTGCCGTGGCTGGCTGATAAACACAAGCATTAGAGCGGCTGCGATCAGCTCCGGTTCCAGTGGAGCCGTAACGCGCCGCAGACGTGTGCAGTGAGGCACAGATCAGCTCTAACGTCACTGAATCTGCTGTTAAAAATGAACCATCCATTCATCATATCATTATGCAAAACATACACGACAAATAGCGAATTTTTCATAGTTTCTCGAAACGTCATAGCATTTCCACACCGATGATGACATGACTGCGGCGCCAAATCATTTATGTCCCCACACATCATGTACATCGTTACGCGTTGACGTCATCAAATTGCGATCGGTTCGTGAGATCGGCCAAGTTAGTGAGTACCGATCGAGTCATAAAATGTGATTATCGGCCGATAGCGATCTCCGGCCGATCGATCGGAGCATCCCTAATATAAGTGTGTTTAGAAAATGACCTACATAATATTTTTGAGTGTTTAAAAAAAAAAAAAAAAAAGTATATTGTGTTAAAGTCC